AAAAAAAAAAAAAAAAAAAAAAAAAATAGAGAACAGAAAGTAGAGAAAATCAATGAAAGCAAAAGTTAGTCCTTTTAAAAAGATCAAAATTCATAAACTTTTAGCTAAACAAGAAAAAAAGAGACTCGAATTATTAAAATCGGGAATGAAACATAGGCTTTGCTACCAACCTTATAGAAATGTTAAAAACCATAAAGAAATACTATGATCAACTGTATGTCAGAAAATTTAAAAAACATAAATGGGCAAATTTCTAGAGAAAAACTGTCAAAACTGACTCAAGAAGAAATAGAAAATCTAGATATATCTATAACAAGAGATTTAATTAGTAACTTTAAAACTTCCCACAAAGAAAAGCCCAGGGCCAGATTAATTAAAAGAAGAATTAACACCAATTCTTCACAAATTCTTCCAAAATAGAAGAGAAGGGAACACTTCTCAGCTCATTCTATGTGGTCACTACTACTCTGATACCAAAACCAAACAAAAGCATCACAAGAAAAAAAACTACAGACCAATATCTTTCATAAATATAGATGCAAAAGTACCCAACAAAAACCAGCAAGCCGTATCCAGCAGCACACAAAAGGACTGTATACTATAACCAAGTGAGATTTACTCCAAGGATGCAAGATTGGTTTAACATCCAGAAATTACCACACTGCACCAGTACAATAAACGACAAAACTCAATACAGAGAAAGGATTCGATGAAATTCAACATCGCTTCATACACAACAACCTAGGAACAAAAGAGAATTTCTTCATCTCAATAAAGGACTTCAAAGAAAGATTTACAGCAAACACAGTTAATGGTGGAAGATTTAATGCTTTCTCCCTAATATGACAAGACAAGGATATTCACTCTTGCCACTTCTATTCAACAGTGTACTAGAGGTTCTAACCAGGGCATTTACCAAGAAAATGAAATTAAAGGCCTACAGATTAAAAAGGAAGAACTAAAGGCATCTCTATTTGCAGATGATATGATCTCTTATACAGAAAATCCTAAGGAATCCACTAAAAACCTACTGTAACCTAACAAGTTGAGCAAGGTTGGAAGATACAAGATCAACATATAAAAATCAACTGCATTTCTATGTAGTATCAGTAACAAACCAAAATAAATTAAGAAAATAATTCTGTTTACAATAGGATCAAAAAGAATAAAATACTTTGAAATAAATTTAACAAAAAGCATTGTAAATTTAATAAAAGAAATATAAAAACTTATACTCTGAAAACTACAAAGAATTAAAGAAGAACCAAGCATGGTGGCTCACACCTGTAATCCCAGCACTTCAGGAGATTGAGGTGGGAAGATCACCTGAGTCCAGGAGTGCAAGATGAGCCTGGGCAACATGGTGAACCCCACATGCAAAAAATATAAAAATTAGCCAGGTGAGATGGTGTAGGCCTGCAGTCCCAGCTACAAGTGGGGTTGAGGTGCGAGGACTGCTTGAGCCCAGGAGGTAGGGGCTGCAGTGAGCTATGACTCCACCACTGCACTCCAGCCTGTCTTTCCTAAATAAATGGAATGACATCTGTGTTCATGAATCACAAGATTTAATACTGTTAAATGGCAATAGTTCCAAAATCTGTAGGTTTAAGACACCCCTCAACAAAATCCCAGTTTACTTCTTTGCAGAAACTGACAAGCAGATCCTAAAATTTATAAGGAACTGTAAGGACCTATAATAGCCAAAACGAACTTAAAAAAGAAGAATAAAGTTGAAGGACTCACACTTCTTAATTTCAAAACTTTCTACAAAGTTACAATAATAAAGACAATAAGGGTGCTGGCATTAGGATAGATGCATGGGCCGGGTGCAGTGGCTCATGCCTGTAATCCCAGCACTTTGGGAGACCAAGGTAGGTGGATTACCTGAGGTCAGGAGTTCGAGACCAGTCTGGCCAATGTAGTGAAACCCCATCTCGACTAAAAATACAAAAAATTAGCTGGGCGTGGTGGTGGTGGGCACCTGTAATCCCAGCTACTCAGGAGGCTGAAGTGTAAGAATTGCTTGAGCTCAGGAGGCGGAGTGCACCATTGCACTCCAGCCTGGGTGACAGTGAGACTCCATCTCAAAAAAAAAAAAAAAAAAAAAAAAAAGATACATGAATCAATATGAATCAATTGAATATAACTGAAAATCCATAAATAAACCCTCACATTTATAGTCAACTAATTTTTCACAAGGGTACCCAGACAATTCTATGGGGAAAGAATAATCTCTTCAATAAATGGAGCTGAGCAATTGAATTGTCACATGCCAAAAAAATAAAGTGGGATCCCTACGTCATACCATATACAAAAATTAACTAAAAGTGAATCAAAGATATAAGTGTAAGAGCCAAAACTTTTAAATTATTAGAAGAAAAATTTGTAGTAAATCATCATGACTTTGGATAGGCAATGGTTTCTTGGATATAACACCAAAAGCACAAGCAGCAGCAACAACAAAAAAAGATACACTGGTCATCATCAGAATTTAAAACCTGCACCTTAAAGGACACTTATTTGTCCATTTTCACACTACTATAAAGAGCTACTGAGTAATTTATAAAGAAAATAGGTTTAGTGGACTTACAGTTCCGCATGGCTGGGCAGGCCTCAGGAAACCACAATCATGGCAAAAGATAAAGGAGAAGCAAGCAGTTTCTTTACAAGGTGGCAGGAGAAGCGGGGTAGGAGTGTCATACTTTAAAACCATCAGCTCTCATGAGAACTCACTATCACCAGAACAGCATGGAGGAAACCATCCCCATGAATCACATCCCACCAGGTCCCTTCCTCAACACGTGGGGATTACAATTTGAGATGACATTTGGGTGGGGACACAGATCCAAACCTTATCAGATACCATCAAGATAATTAAAATTCACAGAATGGGCGAAAAATTTTGCAAATTATGTTTCTGATAATGTACTTATATGTTGAAAATATAAGGAATTCTTATATTATGTGATGGTTAATATTAGGTGTCAACTTAACTAGATTGAGGGACACCTGGACGGCCGATGAAGCACTGTTCCCAGGTGTGTCTGTGAGGATGTTGCTGGAGGAGATTGATAATTGAGTCAGTGGACTGCGAGAGGAACACCTACCTCAGTGTGGGTGGGCACCATTCAGTTGGCTGCCGGCGAGGCTAGAACACAGCAGGTGGACGAAGGGTGATAAGCAGCGTGCTTGCTGAGTCTGCTCCCTCTCTTTTTTCCTGTGCTGTGCAGAATGCTTGACTTCCTCTTCTCCTGCTCTTGGACACCAGACTCCAGGTTTTTCCACATTTGGACTCTGGGACTTGCACCAGTGGCCTCCCAGGGGCTCTCAGACCTTTGGCCTCAGACTGAGGGGAGCACTGTCAGTGTCCCTGGTTTTGAGGCTTTTAAACTTGGACTGAGCCATGCTACCAGGACTTCTCTCCTTCCCCAGCTTGCAGATGGCCTATCATGGGACTCTGCTTTCCAATCATGTGAGCCAATTCTGTCTAATTGTGATGGTTAATACTGAGTGTCAACTTGTTGAAGAATGCAAAGTATTGATCCTGGGTGTGTCTGTGAGGGTGTTGCCAAAGGAGATTAACATTTGAGTTAGTGGGCTGGGGAAGGCAGACCCATCCTTAATCTGGTGGGCACAATTTAATCAGCTGCCAGCAAATATAAAGCAGACAAAGAAACGTGAAAAGGTGAAACTGGCCTAGCCTCCCAGCCTACATCTTTCTCTCATGTTGCATGCTTCCTGCCCTCAAACATCGGATTCCAGGTTCTTTACTTTTGAGACTCAGACAGGCTCTCCTTGCTCCTCAGGCTTCAGACATCCTATTGTGGGACCTTGTGATTGTGTAAGTTAATACTTAATCATACACACACACACACACACACACACACACACACACACACACACGTATATACACACACACACGCACACATGTGTGCGTGTGTGTGTGTCCTATTAGTTCTATCCCTCTAGGGAACTTTGACTAAGACACTAATACATTCCCTCTTATATCCATATATATCCTATTGGTTCCGTCCCTCTGGAGAGCCCTCACAGATTTCAGTGATAAAAAAAAAAAAATCCAACTTAAAAGTGTGCAAAATATCTGAATATACATTTCTCCAGAGGATAAATGGTCAATACACACATGAAAGCCATTTAATATCATTAGCCATAAGAAAAATGCAAATCAAAACCACAATGAAGTACCACTTCATACCCACTAGGATGGTTATAATCAAGAAGTCAGATGATAACAAACGTTGGAGAGAACAGGGAGCAACTGGAACTCTCATACACTGCTGGTGAGAATATAAATTGGTGCAGCTGGTTTGGAAAAAGTATGGCAGTGCCTCAAATGTTAAACATAGAGTTACCATATGACCCATCAATTCTACTCCTAGTTACATACCCAAAAGAAGGGAAAGCATATGTCCACATAAAAACTTATACACGGATGTTCACACCAGCATTTCCTAATAGCCAAAAATTGGAAAATCACCCAAATAAATGTCCATCAACTGATGAATGGATAAATTCAATGTTCTGTATCCATACACTGGGATATTATTTGGCAATAAAAGAGACAAAGCATTGACACATTACTGGTACAACATGAATGGAGTGTGAAAACATTATGCTAGTCAAATAAGTCAGGAACAAAGAACCACATGTCTGGAATAGGCAAGTCTATTGGGACTAGATAGATCAGGTTACCTAGGGATGGGGGAAGTCAGGGGATTACTGTTAAGGAGTGTGAGATTTTTGGGGGGATATAAAAATGTTCCAGGCTGGGCATGCTGGCTCACACTTACAATCCTAACACTTTAGGAGGCCAAGGTGGGAGGATCACGAGCTCAGGAGTTTGAGACCAACCTGGGCAACATAGTGAGACCTCATCTCTATTATTTAAAAAAAAAAGTTCTAAAATTGATTATAATAGTTGTCCAATTTGGTGAATATACTAAAAGCTGCCAAACTGTAAACTTAAAATGGGTGAAATATATGTGAATTATATCTCAATAAAGCTATTAACCATTTATGCCTGAGGTGGCAATTTTTTTGAATTTTTGCAGTCAGACCTTGGCAATGACCGTGAGCAGTAGGATATAAATAACTCCATGTTTAGTGTTCCAGTAATGGAACACTAGGCATAAATGAGCTAACAGTTACATTTTTCTTCTTGACTTTTTCTTTTACCATTTAACATACATAAAAATTTAAAAATCAAATCATTCTGAGAGGCAAAAAAAAATTCCTAAGTGGAACATATTCAAAACAATGTACTCCCAACTCAAAAAGCATTTCCAAGGAAAAGTCCCAGGCATGCTGGGTCCCATGCAGCGGTGATGGAGTGAGCAGTTGCTTTGTAAAATGACCACATTACAACATCCTGAGAGGTGTGTCAATAATATCAACAGATGCAATTACAGCTTTTCTTTGCCACTGCTTCAACCCATTGGCAAAGATAACACACAATGATCATCAAAGTTACTACAGCATTATCCTAAAAATAAAGCACGTTTTAATGTACATAATTTGTTTTTTTTTTTTGAGACAGAGTCTCACTCTGTTGCCCAGGCTGGAGTGCAGTGGTGCGATCTCTGCTCACTGCAAACTCCTCCGCTGGGGTTCAAGTGATTTTCCTGCCTCAGCCTCCTGAGTAGCTAGGATTGCAGGCGTGTACCACCATGCCTAGCTAATTTTTGCATTTTTAGTAGAAATGTGGTTTCACCATGTGGGTCAGGCTGGTCTCCAACTCTTGACCTCAGGTGATCCACTTGCCCTGGCCTCCCAAAATGCTGGGATTACAGGTGTGAGCCACCACACCTTGCCTAATATACATAATTTTATAAAAATATATATGTATGTAAAATATCTAATCTCTTCACTTATGTCCCGTGCTACCAGTTCTCATGATGACAAATGCTGAAATCATTAATATTTTCTTTGATTAAATGGATTTAAAACATTTGCTAACACAAATACCTTAAAACTCCAGTTATAGGCTTCTTTTTTCATCTTGATACTTTGAAGCGACAATGTTCATCGTGTCTTGAATAGAAAAATATAGTTACTTTGAGCAATTTGAAATAAAACTAAGTTTCTTGATGATCTGCGGGCTTGAAAAGTTGCCTGGGAATTAAATTATTCAGTCTCAAATTCTGAAGTCTGGAAGACACTTGTGGAGATTCTCCCACCTGTTAAAACAATTAAAATAATAAAGTTAATTTTGTAAAAATATAGTCAGTCTACCCTATGTACTTCTATTCCCTCTGCTTGAGAAGAAATAATACACTTTTCCCAACTCTTGAAAGACTTGAGCAACCAAAGCAATTGGCTGTCAGCTCCTTGTAGGATCACATCTGCTTTGCTCATAATGCTTTGTGGTATCTCCAGCACCCAGCTCTGGGTCTGGCATCTAGAAGTGACTATGTACTAAATAAGTAGGTGTGTCTAACTTCTAAAGGTGTAGACGGGGCCCACTACATAGCAGCCCAGTTCAAAATTAAAATGATGGCCCCTTGTTCAAACTTAAGAATTTTAAGATGGTGATTACAGAACACTTTTTATTTTAAAGTGTGGGGCCCTTCTAAGCCCAGAGTCCTGGAGGACTGCCCACACTGCCTGCCCATGAAGCCAGCTCTGCATGTGTAAGATGAAACACTGCAATGACACAGTCATATTCTTCGTGTTATTGATGCTTCTGAGGCAGAAGTCAGTGGGCCAGTGTGGTCATGATGAAGTTTCACCACCACAGAAAAATGAGAAAAGTAAGCACAACTCAATTTTAGGAAAAAGGTCTTTCTTTGGAATTGCCTCTCTTTTCTGCTCATGTCAAAAGTCTTATTCCAGGACCTCTGCAAGAGATGGCAGGTTTAATTTCAGAAAAAGATGTTTTCCTGAGATGGAAATTCCATCAAAGAGTTGATCTGGGGTACAGAATGGAACATAGAATCAGTAGGGATTCTACTCTCCAAGAGAGGGGAAAAAAAGGGAATTTCCCCCTGCACCCTTGACTACGTCCACTTTAATCACTTTTCCCACAAAACCTATCCCTCAGCCTGTTTTATCAATCTGGTTCATGGTGCCTGGATCCACCCACCTGTATGCCTGGGCCGAAGCTTAGGAGTGATCCTCAGACCCAACCCCACCTATATCCAACTGATCAGTAAGTCCCATCAGCTCTATCCTTAGCATCTCTTCTCCATCCCCACTGCTACTACCTAACATTAGAGCCTCCTCATTTTATCCAGGCCAATGAAATAATCTTTTAGCTGGGAAGTCATTCCCTACTCTTTCCCTAACCATCATCATCCACTAAACCTCAGTCAACATCACCTTCGTAAATTTCAATTCACAGGGCACTTAAAATGCTTCTACTGTTCTCCATTGTAATCAGAAGAATGTATGACTTCTTCAGAAGACCCCGTGTCCATCCTCCTGCCTTTTCCTGTCTGCAGCCCATCCTCTCACTGCACCCTGTGCTCCAGCCATGCTGTTCTTCACCTGCAGTCTTCTAATGTGCCAGGACTCTACACACTGTGCCCTGTGTCAAACTGACTCTTAGAGAACCTTTTCCCTGTGCCATATCCATTTGGGGACGGAGGATATAAGTATTCCCCGCTTACAACTCAGCCTGGTTCTGGCAAGTGACACCAGCACTTTCTCCCCTGAGTTCCTTCTGTGGCCCCTTTTTACCTTTAAGCCTTGGAAACTTAAAGATTCAACCAAACAAGTCTGCTGCCAGACTTGGTATTAAAGCAATTCTTACGCTTCTGTTGGAACTACATTTGGAAATGACTTATAATCCCACTTTTTTTTTTTAACACAAAATCCATTACCCATATTGGATCCTCTAACTCGTAATACCAGAAAACAAATGCCATTGGGTTATTCCTAAACCCAGAATAGGTCTCAATAGAAGTTTGCTTCCCTTATAAACCTTCAGAAGGATCTTTTACTGCCTTAAAAGTGATTCCAAAAGGAATTGTCAAAGTAAAGGGGGGCACTACAAGAATAAAAGTATGACTTTCAGTACAACCTGAAAGAACAATACTCAGAAGGTCTGATTTTTTTTTAAAGTTTCATCACCATATATTCATGACTCATATTTTGATCACTATTTTTGAGGCATTACCATGTTATCAGCTGGTACCAAAGGTTCTAGCAGATCAAAAGTGATACACTGTCCTCAAGAAGCTTTATTTACAGAGTCAAACAAGTTTACTGCAAGTGCAGTACAGAAAAGGTGTGCTGCCCTCTTACAGGAGTTCAGAGAAAGACAAGCCTTCAGGAACAACACAGAAACTAAGCTGGATTCTAATAATAAGAGAGAGAGGATGGGACGAGGTGATCAGCTTTGAATTACTTTATCTTCCCTCTGCTATATATACCTAACAACGTACTACACCCATTCCTTCTGGTTGCAATGGAAGAAGGGTCCTCTGTCCCTCATCCTGTCTCAGGGCAACCCCTCTACTTATTCTCTTGGTTTTTCCCATCTTACCCACTTCAGGACTCCAATTCTGCAATTAACCTCTCTCTCTGAATCATGAATTTCTCATTCTCCATTGGACCATTCTAGCAGCACACTAACATGCCTTTATATACCCATCCAAAGTCAACAAACCAATACAGTTTTCCTTGACCACAGTCCTCTATTCAGATACAATCATCTTTTGCTTTTTTCAGCAGCCCTCTTCAAAACCTGCCTCCACTGCTTACTCCACCTTTTCGGCTCCCATTTTCTCACCAGGCCCCTCAGATCAGCCTTTTGTCCCCTCCCCACAACCCTGGTTTTCCTTCTATCACACTCACACTCCTTTTTAGTTCCTCCTCCTCTGCAGGATCTCTAAAAGCTGGGAATACCCCAGATTTCTGTCATCAGGCCTTCTCCTCTATCTGCAGCCTCTCCTGAAATTAACTCAACTAGTCATTTCAATGTCACTACATGCCAATGACTCCCACGTGGACCTTTGCTACCCTACTCCCTGCTGAGGCTCTAAACTCCTCTACCAACCACTGACTCATTCAACAAGTCCATGTACATTTCCAATTAGCACCTTAAACAACAGCATGCCACAAGAGAATGCTTCCTTTCCCGAAAAGAGTTCTCACATCTTTCCCATCTCAGGAAACGGCACTGCTATTCTCCAAACTGCTTTGGCCAGAAATCCAGGAATCATCCTGGATTACTTTCCTTTACCTCATCACATCTAATCAGCAAACCATCCAGACTCCAAACACCGATCACCAACCCTGCTCTTTTACTAGGCTCTCCCCAGGATGACCTCCTACTGGTCCCTTCGCTTCCCTTTCACTTTCCACAGCTCCCTCTCCACGGGAGCCAGAGGGATTGTTTGTTTTTGAGACAGGGTCTCATTCTGTCGCCCAGGCTGGAGTGCAGGGTACCATCACGGCTCACCACAGCCTCGACCTCCTGGGGTCAGGTGATCCTCCCACCTCAGTCTTCTGAGTAGCTAAGACAACAGGTACCTGCTACCACCCCCAGCTAATTACTTTTGCATTTCTGGTAGGGATGAGGTTTTGTCGTGTTGCCCAGGCTGGTCTTAAACTCCTGGGCTCAAGTTATCTGCCTGCCCTGGCCTCCCAAAGTGCTAAGATTACAGGTGTGAGCCACCACACCTGGCCTTACTTTTCCTTTTTTTTTTTGAGACAGGATCGTGGTCTGTCATCCATGCTGGAATGGGATGTCACAATCACAGCTCACCGGAGACTGGAACTCCTGGGATGAAGCAATCTTCCTATCTTAGCTTCCCGAGTAGCTGGGACTACAGATACGTGCTACCACGTTCAGCTAATTTTTTACTATTTTTGTAGAGATGGAGTCTCACTATATTGCCCAGGTTGGTCTCAAACTCCTGGGCTCAAGCAATCCTCCTGCCTGGCTCCCGAAAGTGTTTGAATTTAAAGTGTGAGCCACCACACCCAGAAGGGTTGTGGTTTTGTTTTTGTTTTTCAGACAGGCTCTTGCTCTGTTCCCCAGGCTGGAGTACAGTGGTGCAATCACAGCTCACAGCAGCCTCAACCTCTCAGGCTTAAGTGATCCTCCCACATCAGCCTCCTGAGTAGCTGGGACTATAGGTGCATGCTAACATGCCCAGCTAACTTTTCTATTTTTAGTAGAGATGGGAGTTCACCATATTACCCAGGCTGGTCTCAAACTCCTGGGCTCAGGCAATCCTCTCATTCCAAAGTGCTGGAATTACAGGTATGAGCCACTATGCCTGGCTGGGCCTATGTTTAAACAGACATTAGATGATATCACACCACTGCTTCCAGCCGTCCAATGAATTCCCAATGCAAGCAGAATAAAATCCCAACTCCTTCCCGTGGCCCTGCCCATCTCTCCAACACCAGCACCTGCACCCTCTTCCTGGCTCACTAGCCACATTCGCCTGCCTTCCTCTGTTTGTTGTTGTTGTTGTTTTGAGATGGAGTTTCACTCTTGCTGCCCAGCTGGAGTGCAAAGGCACGATCTTGGCTCACTGCAACCTCTGCCCCCAGGTTTAAGCAGTTCTCCCGCCTCAGCCTCCTGAGTAGCTGGGATTATAAGTGCCTACCACCACATCCAGCTAATTTTTTGCATTTTTAGTAGAGACGGGGATTGACCATGTTGGCCAGGCTGGTCTCGAACTCCTAACCTCAGGTAATCCTGACCTCAGGTGATCCACCTGGCTCGGCCTCCCAAAGTGCTGGGATTACAGGCATGAGCCACTGGGCCCAGCCAACCTGCCTTCCTCTTTGAATAAAATCCTTCCCTTTCCAGGCTTTACATTATCTACATCCTCAGAGGCCACCCTGCTGGGTCCTTGGTAACATTCAGTGCTCAGCTCACATGTCACCTTTTTAGGGAGGCATGACCTGGTCAAAATAGCACCTCCTGCCCGCCGTACCCGCTGCCATTCCCTATGTCATTGCCTTGTTTTTCATTTTCATAGACTCTTGATCTGAAATTTGATTTTCTCTTGTATTTATTGCTTATGCTGGACTGCAATATCCACGAAGCCAGGAACTGGTGTGCTTTCCTCCCTAACATTTAGATGTTAAATAAACACCAGTGACTGGCAGGTGTTTATTTTTCGAATTTTTTGCTAAATGTTTTTTTTTTTTCAAATGCTGAATGAGAAGAGACAGAAAAGGGCATTCAAGATGAGTGACACAGCAAGAGTCAAAAGGAAGATGAAAGTGTTTGATTCATTTTAGTGAGCTGAAGATACTAGCTTGACAAAAGCAGAAAAAGAATACTGGGAAATGAAATGATGTCGAGAAAACTGGAATCAAACTGAGAAAGGTCTCAAATGCCAAGCTAAATAGCCTAGAATTTATGTTGTAGGGACTTGGGAGCCACTGAAGCTTTTGAACAAAGGAGTGAATCTTAGCGGACACCTGAAGCCTTGGATAGTACCAGACCCAAATGTGTTGGGTTTTCCTATACATGCATACCTATAATAAAGGTTAATTTATAAATCAGTAACAGTAAAAGATTAGCAACAGTAACGTACAAAATAAAGCAATTAAGCAAAATAAGGGTGACTTGATACAAACACTGCAATACTGAGACAGTCACTCCAATAACTAAGATGGTGGCAAGTGACTAATGGGTGGGGAGTGTCCACAGTGTGAACACACTGGACAAAGGGAGGAGTCATGGAATGAGGTGGTGTGAGATTTCATCACACTGCCCAGAACGGCATGCAAATCAAAATTGACAAATTTTTTTGTGTGTGGAATTTTCCATTTAATATTTTTGGACCACAGCTGACTATGGGTAACTGAAACTGTGGAAAGTAGAACCACAGAAAAGTGGGGAACTGCTGCATTATGAGAATAAGAATAAGAAAGGGGAGGGCAGCCAGGTCACCAGTCATCCAAGAAGAGAGTAGAGTGAAAGCAAGCCGAGTTCATGGTGATTCTAAGATTTTAAGCCATGTAACTAGGAAGATGGTGATGGAAACAGGAAAACTAGAAGAGACAGTAAGATGCTGGGCTGTGGTTCCACAAAGTCATTCTCTGGGAACAAAGACACAGCTTAGGCAGTTGGTTCATTAACTCCTCCTCAGTGCCAGAGCACTCAGCGAATCACCACATTACTGACATAGCTGGCTGTCTCCACCATGACAATCAGTGTGAGAGTAAGAACTGTCACTTTCTTATCTCGCACTACTGATGCCTGGAATGTTACTACATTCAAAATTTCATCAGCCGAATCACTGGTGCCAGAGAGATGGCTGAAACTGAGAATGAGTCATTTCCCAAAGTAAAAAAGAACTGAGCTTTGGGAGATGTCTTTAGTTAGAGGCTGGGACAGAAAAAGGAGTAAGGAAATTAAGGGGAGATGAGACAGTGAGATAAGGGAAATTTGACAGAAATGAGACAAACAGTTCCTTTTAAAGCCAACAGCACAATGCAACACTAATAAAAGCACACAGTCATTTATAAGCACACTGAAGTTAGCAATATTTAAATAAAACTTGGGCACATGTAAACATCACTCCTACCATACGAATTTTGTTTGGACTTTCATCATCATTCAAGCCACAGGTCCTTTTGGATGCTCTCGATTTTGATAAATCATCATCTGTATCCTCTCCGTCAGGTGAAGAAAATTGCCATCTTTCAGCAAAGGTGAGTGTCCTCTCATCAAGTGAAGAGGCCTCACTCCAGGTGACATCATTTGTCACAGTGTGGTCTGTGACTACAGGGAGTAGAGATGCTGACGGT